CTTTCCCCCCTCTCGCCCCGCCGCCATTTCCCCGCCTCGTTCCCCCTCACTCCGCCCCATCCTTTGCTGGCGCTGGGTGGTTTTTTTTTCCCCGCCTCGTCCCTGTCGCGGCCGCCCGCGGCCTCGCCGCCCGCCTCAGCGGCGGGCATGGCGGCGGCGGAGGAGCTGCTGGCGCTGCTGGAGTGCAAGGTGTGCTTCGAGCCGTTCGGGCCGAGCGGGCAGCGGCGCCCGCGCAACCTGCCCTGCGGGCACGTGCTGTGCCAGGACTGCGCGGCGGCGCTGGGCGCCGCGGGCCGCCACGGCCTCGAGTGCCCCTTCTGTCGCCGCGCGTGGGGCTCCTCCGAGACCAGCGACTGCCTCCCGCTGCTGCAGCTGCTCGAGGCGGCGGGCGCCGCGGGCAGCCTCCCCTTGGCCGCGGCGGAGGCGGCGGCGGCTCCGGCGGCCCCATCGGGCCTGGCGCTCCGGATCTCGCTGGGCGGCTGGGGGCAGCTGGTGAACCCCAGCGGGGTGGCGGCGTGCCCGCGCTCCGGCCGCCTGGCCGTGGCACACGACGGCAAGAAGAGGATCAAGGTGTTCGGCGCGAGCGGCGCCTGCGTGCGGCAGTTCGGCGAGCGGGGCGAGGCGGGCAACGATGTCAAGTACCCGCTGGACGTGGCGGTGACGCTGGACGGGCACGTGGTGGTCAGCGATGGCGGGGACCGCTCCATAAAGGCCTTCGACCTGGAGGGCCGGGGAACGCTGGCCATCCGGGAGGGCTTCTCCTTGCCCTGGGGCTTGGACATCACGCGGGAGAATGAGGTTGTGGTGACGGATTCGGAAGCCGGGGCACTCTACCGCCTGGCGGCCGACTTTGGGAAGGGGAAGCTGAGGAAGCTGCAGGTGATCCAGGCCAAACTGACGAGCCCCAGAGGAGTGGCCGTCGCGCAGGCCTCGGGCGCCATTGCCGTCATTGAGCACCTCAGAGCCAAGGGAGCCAACAACAGCAGCACCCGAGTGAAGATATTCAGTGCGGACATGAAGCTCCTCGGCCAGATGGACACCTTTGGGCTGAACCTCATCTTCCCCTCCAAGATATATGCGACGGCTGTGGCCTTCGACAGAGAGGGTCAAGTTATAGTAACGGATGTCTATAACCAGGCCGTAGTATGTCTCGGGAAACCCGAGGAGTTTCCTGTTTTTAAGCCCATAATCAGCCATGGACTTTCGTATCCTGTAGGACTGACTTACATGACAAATAATTCCCTTGTTGTTCTAGATGGCGGGGATCATTCAGTAAAAATATATAGCTCTACCTGAGTGCGTTTAGGGTATTTGCTGCTGTAATGCATTGTGTTTTTGGCCACCAAGATAAATTTTAGTAGACAAGTAGGTGGGAGTCGTTTTCAGGCGTTGAGTGAGGTCGCCCTCCCTGAGCGATGTGCGTGGAGTCTTTTGCCTGTCTGTGAGAAAACTTGACCGTTGCAGGCAGCAGTCAACAGTGAAACAACCAACCAAGTGACCTGCCGTTTTCAAGCCCTGTCATGTCTTTGACAACCAAATGTTTTTATGTCACTTTGGCAAATAGTATCAATGCAGGGAATGGAGTAATCTAAGGCCTGCAACTGAGAGCAAGAGAGAGCAATGCAGCTTTTGTTTGTCTCTGTAGTATTTATTTTTCATTATTCATTCTTAAGTAGAGAGATAGTCATGAGTGACTCGAGAAATTTCTGTTTCCAATTTTTCTGCAGGAGAAAGGAGACTGACTCGATAAACTGACAGGGGAAATAAATGTTTTGGTTCTGAATCCAGCTAAGGTCAATTATGATAGAGGAGCTATTGCTGATGAGTGAGCTGTATGAAATGAATTGCATTTTTTCCCATGACAGGGAATTTAGTGGTGGATAAAAGCTTCTTTCATGAAGGGTGAAACATGTCAGATGATATTTGGAAGGTGTGTTGTCATCACTACATGTTTAAGGGGAGAAAAAAGTCCTTTTTACCTATGGCAGCTTTCATGAGCTATAAGTTAAGTAGTGAAGTTTTAAAGCATGCTAAAAAGGCAGAATCTTAAGGTCTGAGAATATCACAGTAGACAAATATTTATTCTCTTTACTAGTTTACTACCACCTTTATGAGAGTGGTGCTGAAGCCCTTGCACCCTGCAAGGAGAGAGCCTGTCTGCATGCAGACGTAATCTTGTGTGTTAGCTTTCTCTAAAAGCCTACAGGCGTTTAGACCTCAAGCCCTTCTGCATATACAAAAGGGAGCTGGCCCTCATGCCAGCCAGGTACTCTTGCAAGATTGCCAGTACTGTCTGTATCTGTGTTATCATTAACACATTTCGGTGTACAAAACTTCAGACCCGCTTGAAGATTGAGTGTTGATGAGTGGTAGAAGGGAAGGAGGGGTGTAAGTCTATTCTTTTTTCGAGCAGACTTAGATTTATATTTTCTGGAAAAGCGTTTCCCTGTGAACATTAGTTTTGTTGCCTTACTGAGCAGTGGAAGGTAGCACATATCTGAATTATTCTATGAAGTTTTTAGCACCTCCAGTAGGAAGTGACTGCTGCATGTTCAGGCATTTATCTGCTGCTAAAATAATAACTTACTTAATAACTTAATAAAATAATAACTTCAGCACTGCAGGGAAGTTTGATGAAGATCTGTTTTGTGAGATAAAGACAATTGCTTTCAACTTTTCTGTTCACTTATTTATTCACAGAAATTAGGAAACACCATTTGAGATCAACAGGCGGTCTTTCAGTTATTTTCTAAACTGATTTTTGATCTTATTTTGAGCACATATAATAATTGCACATAATGTTGCCCCAGTGATTTGCCAGATTCTTATTTTAAACTGGAGCATTTTTAGGCTTCTAATTAAAATAATGCATTATTTTACCTTGACATGTGTAAAAACAAAACAACCTAACCATTAAATGCTCGTATTTGTAAAGGCTAATTCAATGGTGATGTGCCAATAAAGTGGGATGTGTTTACACCTACTCTGAATAGCTTAGTGAAAACTACTCAGTTTTATTATCGTGAGTTTTTCTGTTACCATTTAGTTTTTCTACTTGAATTGTTCTGTGTGTATATATGTGTATGTGTCTATTTATTTACTTGGTAAGTTTATTCTGTTATAAATCTTCAGGAAGATTTGTTGCTTTTGCAAAATAATGGGCCTGCACATCCACTCTCCTTGAACCTTGTCTCCTGCCAAGCCACGCAGCATTTGCCTCTGGTGGAGCAGAAATGCTCCTGGGATATTCTGCACCTTGTGAGGGGTCGAGAAGGAGACTTGCTGAGGGAGGCAGCCTCACCTACATGATATGTTCTCTTCTAGATGCTGAGAAGCCATCTGCCTTTGGATATAGAAACAGCTGGATAACACTTCCTTTGAGGAATTGCTGTGTTCCCGGTGCATGTAAGGCTATGGGTGCTTTATTCATACAATGGTTTATAGCAATAACAGTTGCAGGACCTCGATGCCTCCTCCATACTTGGCTGTGGGATTTCACCTCCTCAAACCTGCCTGTGCACCAAGACAGTGGAGAGCAGGAGCTGGGTTTTCTTCCTGATCTCATGGATGCGTAAACCTCTAATGTCCCCTGCCATGCTGGCAACTTTGCAGCAGCTGGAATGCTGATTTTTTCAAATAGTTGACTCATGCTGTTCTAAAATCCCCAGCGATTCTCACTGCTGCGCATTCTGCTTCTCCCTGCTCTGGTTTATAACTGGAAATCACTCGAGGTTGGGGTTTGGAGGCCAGACCAACACGGTGCCTTCGCCCACGTGGGCTGCGCCCTGTCTGGTGCCCGCAGGTCTGTGCTGCTTTGCTGAAGGGTGCAGCTCTTCCCCTTGGCTGCAAACAGCCTTCTACTACAAGTACTTCAAGGAAAACGCTGAGTCCTGTCTTGCATCAGTTTATTTGGGTGTCTAAATTGAAAGCCACACGGTACTATATAAAGCCCCAATTTAGAGTGGCATTTAAAAGAAAATGCAGCAATAAAACCACAATCTTTCTTTTGTCTTACAAGAGGATTCATGAGATGGGGGGAGGAGAGAGGGGGACTAGGGATCTGCCAGTGTGTGAATGATAAATCCAAAAGCTTTTTTGACCCACTGTAGCCCCTCTGTTTATGCATATATGCACCTCTGCCTTATGAGTATTTTAGATACATTGATTGCCTTCAGGACAACACCATTGCACTACTTCCTTTTTTTTTTTTTTTTTTTTTTTTTTTTTTTTTTTTTTTTGAAGGCCGAAGGGACAAATAGTGTTCTGACTTTCTGTCCAGCGAAGTCAGCTGAAATTTAGTCAGATTTCAGCAGAACAGAACTTTGGCTCTCGGAGAGGGATAGCAAAGTGTGAGGAACCTGCACGCAAGCAGGTAGAATTAGGTCTGTCTGGGTTTGGGGGGGCTTGGTGGGCGTGTTTGAAAACAGATAGCTAAATAGGAGATAGCTAAATAGATCCTTGCCCTTGGAAAAGAGAGGTACAGTTTTCATCTGGACTGCACAGTTAGTTAAAAACAACAACAAAACCCCTAAACTTTTGAGTAATTCTCTGTACCATTTACATGCTCAATTTGTATTTAAAAATACATACATACATACATATATATATATATATAGTGGAAAGTGTTCCCTTAGTGTCGACTCTTCAGCCACTACTGCAGGCCGTGTCTGCTGTACACACACAGAGGTTCCAGCGTGATTTATTTTTAAGGTCTGTTCTCAGATTGCTATCGCTGTGTGAAAATATACCCGGGTAGTTTTATAGTGTCTAGCAATAAAGAGATCTGAGGAGTTTCAGAAATGTGAATCTAAAGGGTGTCCTGTAATGTAATTATTTTTTATGGTTGCTTATCTAAAATTATTTTTGAAGAAAAGATAAAATTATTAAGATTATAATTTTAATGTTAATAATTATAATTTAATTATAAAGATTAAGACCTCCTGTAACATCTAGCCCTTAAACTACTACAGAGCAGAGTCTAGATTAGGATCTTGAATACAAGGAATATTTCCATCTTGGAAGGGGTGACAGAGATGTAAAGCAACTTCCCTCCATGTGACAGAGGTTAAAAAAAATGGGGAAAAAAAAAGGGAAAACTGTGTGGACAGACAGACAGACAGATGGACAGCATCGCTGTGTGGGAGCACTGCTGCGTTCCCGGCCTGGCTGTGCCCTTCCTGAGGAGGACAGGGATGTCTCCCTGGGGCAGCTGCACAGGCAGCACCAGCGCCTTTCTTGCATCTGGGAAAGACTCTTCCAAGTGCCCTGAGAAAGACAGAGTTAGAGCAGATGGAGAAGCATGGAAGAAAAACTGCATTATCTCAGGGGTTTTCACATCATTAAAACCTGATACTTTTTTCAATGAGGTTGCCTCTCGCGTTGCTTACTCTATACACCAAACGAGTACATTGTATAGACAAACAGACTTAAAGCAGCGATGGAAAGGGGCACAAAAGGTAGTGTCTGTTCTCCTCCATGCCTTGTGCGGCAGGTCTTACGTGGTGGAGTTTTTCTACCTTTATTTTCACTGCCACCAAGAGACACTGCTTTGGAAGACACCAGTGTGTACATATATGTTGTGTCCTTGCTAATCTCCCATAAAGGTTTTGCAGCTGTGAGGATGGCTGAGGCGCCTAGCTCCATCCTGACCCTCACGAAGCTTGGTTTATGTTCCGTACTGCTGGAGGAAGAGGATGCCCCGTGCTGCCATTTGCTTCCACTGTGCTGGCTGGACACTCAGGTTTGGGGATTTGGCTCCCTGCATTTTTTTGACATCTCTATTCTGATTAAATTCTGGGTGCTGCCTCCTGGTGTTCGGGAAGGTGCTTGTCTTGGGGTTGAGCAGAGATGTGCGGTGCTGCAGAGGCCCCCCCTAACCAGGCCTTTACTTAACATGGGCTCAAGGCTTCTGTGTGATTTTCCTGGGTAAGTTCAGAGCTAACACAGACAAGGCTTCCAGGAAGCAGGTGATGCTTCTCTGCTCACTGCTTTCCAAGACACTTAAGAGGATTTTTGAACTTGTCCTTCCAAATCCAACATAAATGTTCTGGCTCTGCCGTTGTAAATCAAGGCAAGGGCTGCAAATCAAGGGAAAGCGCTGGCAGCTTCGACACTAGATCTCAGACTTCCCATTATAAGGTTAGTACTTTAATGAAGGAGAAAATTATTGTTTAGTCTGGGACTTTGTAAGGACTTTAGACATTTTACTGGTAGTCTTGTTGTTACTAATTCCTTTGGTGTTCCCTATAAATGATAAAAGTGGACAATGAATTTCCCAGTATATTCTTAAGTAATTGCTTCCAGTGTACTCCACAAAGCTGTGTGGTCATGGAGCTTGAAGGCACTCCCTGAGGAGGTGGCCTGCCCCGCTGCAGTGACAAGTTCCTTATTTCATCCTGAGGAAAAGAATAAGAGATGGATTCTGAAGTGGAGGGAAAAAAATTGAAAAAGGCTGTGGCTTAAATAGAAGGGGAACTCCCATGAAATCAGAGCCCAGAGCACACCCACCGTCCCAGTAAAGGGCACGCATTCCCAAGACATGAAGCGTCTCAGTCTGGAAAATGGGCAGGACGATAAGGGAAAGGCACTTGCCTCTTGGTTAGTGTTGAGCTCCAGCAGGACAACTCCAGGGGAATAACCTGCTTCTAAACAGTTTTCACAGTTAGGTGCTTTTCAGGTGGTGATACTTATGAACACAGTACCTATCAATCACTCTCCACTCTATATTTGCAGGACCAATGCATGGGAACTAACCATTTGAAGCAAACTAAGCATTTCACAGAAGTATTCTCCTTAAAAATGAATAAATGCATATATTTTTCTCAATACACCTCTTACTGGAAGTAATTTTTGCTTTTAGGTGAGTACTGTATGGGAGCGTGTGTTGAGGTGAGAATGAAACTTGTTTTCACTGAATATATTGCTTTTTAAATCATGAAAATAGGGCTTGTCAGAAGATTCTGTAAAGCATTTTAAGTACCTAGTTTAGATACCTAAATATAGCAATGTGCTGTGTAAATAATAAAAGGCAAGCAATTTTAAGTGGGGTACAGTTTTAGGGAGAGAAAATTACAGTTTGGAAAATGAAACAGCTTTTTCCGAGGAAACTGTAAAAATATTTTTTAAAATATCCATCAAAACTTGCCGTAGAAACTTACAGTACAGAGAAGATGATCTCAAAGAACTGTCACACCTACATCATCTCAGAAGGTAAGCCATTTTCTGTGATTTGTTCTAAATATAAACAGTCAAAAGATATAAAAACACATTAAACTATTCTGCTCATCCAGCATGATTTCCTCAATAACACAGACTATAGAATACCCAGTAATAACCAGTATTTAATAAAGAGTAAGAAAGAAGTAGAGGTGTGTCCTTTACTAATGCAGTTGAAGAAGGTAACTTGAGAAGAAATATAATCTCATCAGAGGTAGCTCTTTAAGAGAGCTACCAAAATATTTGTCAGATAAAATATTAAAACTTTAAAATAAATTTCATATGGAAAGGATATGACTGTGTCATAGTGCTTGATTAGGTAGGAAGTAGGGTCCTTCTGTGAGTCTAAATCAATTTAACTTTACAGTATGGTACTATGGAGCCTGAGGTATTCACAGAATATTTAAGGGAAGGGACCTCTA